GTTTGCAACCGTCATGTGAGTTAAGCCAAGAGAAATTTAATGCAAATGCTGTGCAAAATTTGAAGTGAGCTTCAGGAAAAGCATTTTATTTGATGGAACAGACTTGATAACTTGAATGAGTTAGAATAAACAAGAAGGGCATAGAGTAGGCAAAGCCTTTTGGTGAATGCATTGTAGCAGACACACCCTTCTTTCCAAATGCATTTTGGGTATGCCAAGCTTCCTAGCAGAGTCTTAAATATTGGTGTTCAACTTCCATATCCTTCTTTGTTCTTCTTAAATTGCAGAAGAAATAAAATGAACTGGAGTAGGAAAAGTCCAGACTAGACGGCTTCCGACATGCTTTTTTACTCCCTTTCATCTTTTCAGTTCTCTGTCTTTAAGACCTCTATTTTTGCTCTTGAGCTCAAAGTTTCACAGGAACGGTGCAGGCACCAGTATTCTGGGTTTGCCTTGAATTCCTCTGTGTTCAACTTTGCTAAGCTTGCAGATGCCAGTTTAGGGACATTCAGTGGGAATGCAAACAGCCATTAGGAATTTTATTGATCAAAAGGAACATGTTTAAACAATCCTCAATAGATTTACAAATTAGAGAGGCTGCACGTTAGAATTTCATTCCGTGAGCATTTCCTTCTTTTTAATTGCCTGCTTGCTCCTTCATTACATTGGCATTCTCCGTCACTATGCAATGGTGCAGCTGTTCCCCCCCAGTGTTTGTCTCTTTCAGAGTAAACTATTAACTTGCCATTTCAATCTTCTAAAAAAATGCTTATGATTGACAAAACTTTATGAAACAGTGGCAAATTGGAAGAAAATTATTGCAAAGAACAAGGAACAGCTAAGCCGTATTTGGAGAGAATTTTATCATTGTGGACTAACAGTGTAATTGGCTGGTTAACAATATTATAAACTGGTTGGGGTTTGAATCCTCATCCTGCTCTCTCTATCTCTCTCTCTTTTTTTCCTTTTCTTAATTCCCACAGACTGAAAGTTGTACCATTTCATGTCATGGGCATTGAAAGAGTTTTCATTTGAGACATTTTTTTTTTTTGCTTAGTTTATTTTAAAATGAATACCATGAATACTGAAGGTGAAATCTGATAATGGTCTTTTTAAGATGAAGTACCAGAGAAATTTTAACTTGGTGTTTTGCAACTTACTAGTGAGTTAGCTGCTCTCTGAACAGTACCCCACTTTTCCTTGTGTAATAAGATACCATATTAAAATAGCCAGAGAAACAGAAACCTAAGTAAACTGGACTTTTTTCAAATCGTCCCTAGTAGTAATTTATTTTAATTGAATGTAATTCACATGTAATAAACATGTATTTTAGTGTGGAGTTGAGCAACTTCCGAGACATAATTATTCTGCTGCCATTATCCACCAGATTGAGAAAAATCAGATTCCAGAAAAGTGGACTTTGAAGCATTATTTTTGTTGGTTTTCAGTTGCCCCCTCTCCAAAAGTCATGTGAAAATTTCCTAGTGAAGATTGCTCCTTCCATTTTTTTTTAAAGAACCATAATTGTACATCCTAACTGAGCCTTGTCTAGACCTTATTTTTGAAACAGCAGCTGGGTAAATGGATGACAGAAATTCAATGGGGTGCCATGGCTGGGGTCAAATATCAGCTCCCTGTTTCAAGCCTGAAATTCAAGTCCTTTGAGCAATGCCTTTTTTAGTCCTCTGTAGCTACCCCTTGAGCCTCAGACCACAACTCTGTGTTCTTAAATAGAACACATTAGCAGACAGTGCTGACACGTCATTTATGGAACTTATTTATTTATTTATTTATTTATTTTCATTGTGACTGCAGCAGCTGCGCAGCTAAATGCCTGCATAATGGTTAATTAAAATAGCTTTTAGACATTATATTTTTCAATTAAGATGCAATTCACCAAACCAATCAATTATAGGTTATTATAAAATTTCAAAGGTGACTTAAAGTGCAATAGCATGGAATTAAGAAACCTTAATTTGCTCGAAAGGGCCACCTTCACTTTAAAGTGTCAACCAGCAAACGGTGTATGATCTCCAAAAAGTAGTGTAATTATGTCTACTCCCTCGCCATGTCTGACTAATGCATTAAAATGTATTAAGAGGGCAATTTAGAAATATGCCTCAGAAGTTGCCCCTACACTATTAAATCAGGGGCAAGGAATCCTACTCTGTGTGCCAATTTGCTGGTGATTTATTCTGTCCTTGAGATACAGGCAAATTTGGAACAGGGCAGGTCTCTTTCTGGGATATGAAGGCCTGCTCTTCTTTCAGTTTTGCTAAAACACACCTGGACATACCCAGAGGTGGACAGTCACAGTATTCTGGTGGCTTCTTCTTCTGACAGAATCTCATAGTGGGAAAACTTTCATTAGGCATGAACTGTGGGTGTCATTAAAAGGGAACAAGATGAGTATTGACACTGGGAAGCAAAGGTCAGGCAGAGGCCTGCCTTTGCCATTACTGCTCCTTTTCATACGTATCTAATCATTTCAGGTCCCGAGGAGGACTTTGTGTGCGGAATTCCTGCTTCAAATGTTGTAATACATCAAGCCAAGGTTCATCTCAAGAATGTGCTTTGAAGGCAGTTCCAATTTTGCTGCCGTAAATTTATTATTTAAAGAAAATGCTGTGACATAGAATATTTTAGTATCTTAAAAATGCAGGAGGGCTAACGCAGACGGGAAGGGTGGATGAGGAATAACCTCCATCAATTGATAATGGAGCCCGACTGGCCAGTGAGGCCAGAGGGATCCAAAGTAGAGGATCCAGAAATAACAGGAGAGCAGAGAAGGACTTGTGTATCTCTGTATGAAAGTGCTCCTAGGGTTGATGCCAGCAGTAGATACCTGGGCAGTTCTAGTAGCTTTACAATCCTGATCAAAGACACCTGCTCATCCATTTCTCCTTATTTTTCCACCAAGGGCAGCATTAACCTCTAACCGCAGCACCTGCTCCTGCCTTTTGCCTAGAAATGAACACCCCAAGCCCCCCTCCCAACCCCAGTGTGGCTGGTTATTGTTTCTGACCTTGTGCCAGCTCCCCATAGAATTGAAAATGAGTACAGTCAGCTTAGACCAAGATGGGGAGTGCTGGAACATTCCCACCCTGGGAAGAACTCTGCAGCCCTAAGCAGCATATCGGTGATGTTAGAAAGCCTGGCTCCCTGTTTTCATGGTCTCGCAATTGAGGGAAAACCTTGACCCTTTGCTCTTTAGTGGCCTCATGTGTAAAATTAAGCTTGCTTCATGATTTTGGGACAGATCAATGGTGTAACAATGCAGTGTGCTGGCACAAATCAAGGACTCCGTGTGGTGTGTGCTTGTCCCTCTTTATCTCAGCCTCCAACATTTCTCCAGATGTTCTCTTCCACCTTCTCTGTTCTGCAGCCTCTCACCATTTGCTGGTGCCATCAGAACACTGGGGAGGAGATTGGTGTCCTTTGCCTGCCCTGGGAGGGTCCTGACACCTGAGGCTTGCATCTCTGTGCCCTTCTCTGGGATCCACTGTCTGATGGCACTGGTTTCTTACTGGCCTCCCCTTCCAAGGGGAGAATGCTCCTCTTATCCTCTGAGGACATCAATGATGGAACACTTGGAGCAGCACTGTGACACTATAGCTACAATTGTTTGTTCATTAATTTAGCAAGGATATGCAGAAGCCTTCCTGTAGAGCCCCACTCAGATATTTCCTCCCATTTCCCCATATTCTTGTCGATCCAAATCAACTTCAGCTTCTCCCATATTCAGTTATGAACAATACTCTTCAAGGCCATGCTATCCCGATGCAGACTAATTATATAATGCAGAGGCTTCTTGAGGGTACACCAATAAGTATAAAATACCTTTCCCCAAATATGGATGTAGCATCTCATGAGATCCTCTAGCCCTACCTAGTAGAGCTGGGTATCTTTGGTAAGTTGTTGGCCTCTCTGAGCAGCAATTTCCCCCTAAACTTAAACCAATGTCCATAACAGCTTTTATCCAGGAATCTGGTAAATAGTCTCAAGGAAGCATTTATCACATGGAGGCTCAGAGTGAGAATACAACCCTCCCTTCAATCAGTCCTCCCTTCAATCACATATCCTATCTGTTTTCTTAAGATTGATCATGGTCCTGCAGTGTGTCCAACATCACTGATATAAAACAGAGCTGTGTTTGGTCCTAGCTTTGCCACTAACCAGCTATGAGATCATGAGCAATGTGAGGAGCCTCTGTAAGACTCAGTTTTCTTTGTTTTCCATAAAATAGCAATAAAAATAGTGCCTCAAATAGAGGAATGTTGTGAGCTAATGACAATGAAACACTCATCTATGTGTGCTCCAAATAAGCACAACAAATGAGAAGATTGTTATTACTGTATCATCAAAGGCATCTCTAGTATTATCATGGAAAAAGCAAGACCCTCAATTACTTTGGTTAGTGACAGCTAAATAGAGTGAAGTCACACTCTTCTTGCTTGTGGGAGAGAGTGCTAGAGGGACTGTCTTGGTACACAATAGCAGTCACAGGAAGATTGGAAGAAACTGCAATGAGATTCTCTTACTTCACCTCATCTTTCACCTTTATCAATAGGAAATCTCCCTACTACCAATGGTGTATGCCAGCTGCTAAGATATTCTTCCTGCTCTCTGGGTAGGGACAATTTAGATGAAATCAGTATCTACAAGGAATGCAACTTCTAAATAACCCCAAAGATGCCCCATCCAGGTATTTTCTTATGGGTACCCAGATATATTGACACGTAAGGATCAATGAGAACCATCCAAGAACAATTGTGCGTCTGATTGCTCGGTATTACAGAGCAGGCATTCTATATACATCATCCTTTTTGAACACTTAAACTAAAACTGTGAATCAGATAATGCTCCTGTTTTACCGATGAAGAAACTGAGTGCTTTGTACAGGTCAATTAACTTGACGATTTTCGTTCAAACAGCTTTTATAGGAGGAATTGGAATTTGTAGTTTTTCTTGAGTCTCATCTTTGTTCCTTTTTTCTCTAGGACAGCTCAGAAAATGTCTGGGATACATTCTCTGACGGACGCCTGTGTATATCATCATAAGTGAATGGTAAGTGGCCCTTTATCCATGGATTTTAGAAGAACTAAGAATTCAAAATTATTTCTGTTGTCTCCGTGAGAGGAAAGAAGGGCTATATTCCCAGGGCTAGTGTTAAAGTTAATGGGCTGGATCACAAATGAAATTAGACAGATGAGCAACAGTCATAAAAATGGTCTTTCTTTAATATGTGGCATTATTCTCTTCTTTGCAATAAACATATTCTCCTAATTGAAAGATTAAGTAAAATTTCCTGGCGCTTGAACAGAGGAATGTGCCGCAGCCCTAAGAATCTTGTGATTATTTAACACCTTTCTAACACACCTTAGGATCACGATTTTCTAGATGAGGAAACTGAGGCCGAGAGAGTGACTCACCTGAATGTCAGGCAGAAGGAAGAAAGTGGGAGATCCAGGTGGGGATCTAGTGATCTCTCTGGCTCAGTCTAGGTGCCATTTCCTTCTGGAAACCACTTCACTCTTAGGAAGTGGCTTAGGGAGTGGCGAAACTATGGGCTCAGAGCCTGTCAAGTGCTGGTTCTGATCCTAATGTCCTCTATGTCTACAGGACCTTGCTAAGTCCCGTCATCCCTCCGGGCTCCAGTGGACAGCGTAAAGACATTACTTGCCTCCTGAGGCTGTCGTGACAATAGATCTGCCTAGCCAAGCTTGGCACATGCTTCTTACTGGCGACAAATGCTACTTGTGCTTCTCTCCCTGCGGACAGTCCCTTTTGATAAATAAAGTTAACCTTACCCCATTTCTCAGATGAGGATGCCCAGACCACGGCGGCTGACAGCTTGCGTGGCTTTATGTTCAATAAAGAGACACATGGAAGATTTATCAGCCAGATGTGACAAATGGGGCCCTTTCCCTTTTCATTAAGTGGTGGCAGGCCGTATATCGAAATTACCACCTGTCATCTCTCTTGATGACCTCTGAGCTATCAATCCTTGTAATTTTCTTAAACGAATATTCCATCTATAGGACATGTGCCTGCCAATTTCAGAGATCAATACCAGCCTTTTTGGTGGTCATTACAGGAATTTGTTATGATACCGTCAAACAGATGTCCGAGTCAGAGGGAAGCAATTCGTTCTGTCCAGCGTAAATAGACCTCAGCATTTTTGTTGAAAAATGCAACAGTCTCAAAGAATCACTCTCTGTGATGAGAGGTTCTTATTTGGAAGGTACTCTGCTCCAAGGGAATTTGAGTCAGTCATTTTTAAAGTGTTTGAACATTGTTTTGTTTGTTTCCTTAAACCCTACAATGCATCAGACTTGGTACTTCATGCCTATCAGAGGTCCTATAGGATATATACAAAAAGGCATATATTACATATATTATATGCATATATACACATATGTGTGCAAATACATGTATATGTATATGATAGAGCCACTGACTTGAAGAAATCACCTGAACATGAATAACTACTAAATGACTAAGTCTATTAAGTGTGTTATATGTTAAAGGAAAGATGTAGCCAATATACTAAGAGATTTTAGAAGACAAAGAAAACACCCAGTTGCCATCTGCGTATGTTATAAAAGACTTCATTGATTTTGAAGTTTGAGAAGGACCTGGAGAATTATACATAAGGCAGCAGAGTATATTAATGAGAGATGGAAATATATAAGCAAAAAAAGTATGGCTATAAATAGTGGATAGACGCACGGTATAAATTTAGGGGCAGGACAGTGTGACAGTGTCTTGTTTTCCTGGCCCTGGTGTCAACACATAGTTGGTGATCATCAATGTTCTTTGAATGACAGTGATTATGAATAGATTGAACAAAGCTCGGGGACAATTAATTTTCTACTATAACCCAAGTATTATAGATCTGATCTCTGAGAAGTTTAGAATAAGAAAGAGTGATAGAGGCCTTGCTTTGGCTAAAGTTATGAAGATAGCTGTCAAATGCATACACATTTCCTCCCCTTTGCTCAACGTGTGCTTGTCAAAGTTGATTAACCCATCCGGTCCCAAGTTTGCAATTCTGGGACTGTTTCAATGAAATTATCATGTATATGAAAAATGCAAATTATTTTTCAAATGCTCTAATCATTTAATTATTACTTTTCTCATAGAATTCTGAAAACACATTTATTTAAAAATTTTTTTAAAATTTTGTTTTAATTAGTTACACCATGACAGTAGAATGCATTTATGCCCTTTAATATATCACACATAGATGGGATATAATTTCTCATTTTTCTGAGTGAACATGTTGCAGAATCATATTGGTCATGCAGTCACATATATACATACAGTAAGAATGTCTATTTCATTAAATTTTGATATGTTTCCCATATCTGGAATGGTGGGACTTAATATAATTTAATTGTGCTAATGGCTAACCTTACAAATATATGGTATTTGAAAAAGAATGTATTACTTTCTTCAATTTAAAATATGACTCAGAATGAAATCTTATAGTATGGAGGGGAAGTTGCCAAAAAGGCTCTACCTGCCTCTGAAGAAAAAGGCAGTTTCTGAGCTATAAATCTTAACTGTGAAAGCGGCTGATGTGAAGAGGCTTCCTTTCGTTCTGGGTGCCCTTTGCATTGTTAAAGGTCTTAAACCTGGAGCAGCTGAGATTCTCTGTGGTGGACCCCATCAGTAGTCATCAGCATGCATGCAGTGGGCCCCTGGAACAACACTGTCTCCCATGTCCCATGTGCTAAGGACGTTCATAGGCTGGAGGCAGGGTGGAGAATAGCACTGCTCATGGCCGCCAGCACTGGACCTGTGTTCTCACAAAACCAGGCTCTGGTGAAGGCCCTTCCTGGAAACTCCTCATGTCATTGTTGGAAAAAGGTCAGAAAGTTGAAAAATAGTGTGATAAAGGGGAGTTGAAGGGCCAGGAAAACAGAAAGGAGAAAAGACTTTCAGCAGCAACTAGTAGAACCCGACTCCGATTAACCTAAGGCAGAAAGAGTATGAGGTTGTCGTCAAAGGTCTCCAGTGACTTCCAAAATATTGTCACCTCCTCCTCTTCCCCTCCACTTCTCTTTTCCCTCTTTCTTTCTTTCCCTCAGTCCTTGTCTTTGGGTTGAGTCTCTCAATGGGCTGTCCTTGGTCTTTCTCCTTACAGGCAGACATATTCACATACCTAGCCAAGAGAGCACAGGCCTATCCAGCTTTAGTTTCCATTAGTGTAACTTCCTGAGTTTGAAGGACATAAAGAACTTACATCATCAAAACGCAATCCAGAGAAGGTGGCTAGCAGGTGTCTGGCCCAGGTTGGGGCCGATTCATTTGTTGTCACTATGGTCAGAGGATGGGATACCCAGAGTACTCAGATCCAGGTCATGTGCCCACACCCAGGGGGACAGACTACTATCATGATTGTCAGCTTCAGTGGCAACTCATTGAGTGGAGGAGGGGTAGGTTCCAAATGGGCTGTGTCTGGTGGTGGGCTCTTACAAAACGGGAGATGAGAATGAGAGTGACCTTTTAAAATGAAGGAAAGATGCTTCTAAGAGGCCCACCCCATTGAACAGTGCAGTAGGCAACAATTTTTTCAGTGTTTTCTTTAACTGGTGGGAGTAGGAGGATAGAAGCAGGAAGAAGAAAATAAAGCCCTGGGCATCTCCAAAAGATTTCAGCCTGCAGTAGAATGACCTCATTTGAACAATAAAGTGACACTGGGAACTTCTGAAATGTTGCAGCCCAACTTTAACATTTACCTTTACTTTTCTCTTTCTTTCTTTCTTTCTTTCTTTCTTTCTTTCTTTCTTTCTTTCTTTCTTTCTTTCTTTCCTTCCTTCCTTCCTTCCTTCTTTCTTTCTTTCTTTCCTTTTCTTTTTCTTTTTTTTTTGTAAAGCCAAAGTGGACAATAGATACAAGTTTGTGTTTAATGTACAATTAATGATGATGAGGATGATCATGTTCTCAGGTTAAAAAAAAAAAAATAGTGCTGCCAGACAGACACAGTCACTGTTCAGTACATCTTAAACTGTGTAGTGGTTCAGGGACAAAAGTAAAGAAATTGGGTCTAGTAGGATCAGGGTCAAGGTAACTGAATTAGGTCTTAGAGGTGATGCTCAAATTATAATATTGAGCCTCAACTTCAGGTGAACCTCTGTCCATTTGTTCTATTTTATTCTCATTCATCCATCAGCAGCTCCCACCAGGGAGAGAGTACGACGATTGCTTCACTTAGAAGGCTGAAACGCAGAGAAGATTTTCTTGCACAAGGTCAAACAATATCAAGGTGAAAACCTGTGTTTGCAACACTGTGACCAAGGAAACCCAGGAAAGCCAGTAGCCATAGCACACTATGTCCACATTCTTCCCTCCTAGAAGAGAAAGACAAAATGCTTCAGAAACACAAAAAAGCCAGCAAGAAATGTTACGCAAACTTTAGCTGGAAAGAGCAGAGGAAAAGGAAGGTCACACATAGGAAATGACATTGCAAGATCCCAGGGTTCTCATGGAAGGAATATTGTCATCAAGAGCACTTGACTCCAAAATTGGTCCGTCAGAAATGCTTATTAACGGAGTAATATAAATGATAAATGAATAAATAAATGAATATTCATTCATTCAGCACTTTTTACTTATAACCCTTCATTATTAATTCACATGATATATTATGTCTGCTTGAGTCTTTGAGGAATTGAACGAATCAATACATTCCTCGTCTCATTTCCACTAGGATGAATGAGAGAGGGGGTGTCCCTTTTCCCTGTTCTCTCTCTCCTCCCACCCCCACTGCCAGCTATCTCTTCTAAAAGAATCTGTAGACCTCTGCTTCTTCACCCAAATCCCAGGGTCTCACACCGAAAAACTTCCTATGAATTATAATTTTTTAAAAAAAAAAATATGGAGCAGTCAAAATGAAGCTTTGTCGTGGCCGTTTCATTTGGAGGGCATTATTTTTAGACTTGCAAAGGACCAGTGGCACGAAAACAATTAGGATCTTTTGTCAAGTTAATTAAATTTTACTAAGTGTAGTAATCTCAGTGGGCTTCGTACACCAGAGGTAAAACTAATTAAAACGCAAA